CAAACTGATTTTTGCATACTTTATTTTCTAAAAAGTGTCAGTACTCAGCTACTTTAATTTCCTGCCAGACCTGGATTATTATCAGCAAAAGTGACTGACTCGTGTTCTGACTGATGGATACTCAACAGATAGGCTTGTCCAGGCTGGGCAGTCAACTAATCAAATAAAGGAAAAATGCAAAGAAAATCTTCCTAGGAACCCAAGTATTTTTCAGAAATGGCACTAATTCTCTTTATTAATTTGTGTATTTTCACTCTGAAAATTGAATTGTAGTTTTTCCTCTTCCTTAGGCAAGGACAAGTAATTATCAGCAGCTAAAATGTATGCATATTAATAGCTTAATTACACAGATCCTAAACCAATACCTTTTGAAATTTCCTTCCTCCCACTCCAAGAAAGGGAGCCCTAATATCTACCTCGGGAGATGGTAAGAATTCCTCAACATCAGCAGCGCCAGATAAAATCTGACCCACTTTGGTCTACTTGCAGCATTTCTACACACACCAGCAAATTGGTTAATTGTTGTAGCTTCCTTGTTATTCCAAGTATTTTCCTATTGATAACATCGATCAAAGCACTTGGAATACTTTAAAAATGATATAAATACAAATGTTACCTGGTTTTAATGCCATCTCTGTCATAATGCCCGAATTATTTATACAAAGAAGTTTCAGTTCTCTTTTCGTATCAAAGAGGCCGTTTACAGCAATACTCATTCGGCCCCTTTGTTTTTAAATCAAACAAACTAAATCTTCCTTCCAGTAGCCTCAGAACAGACATTTGCAAGAATCACCCAAGTTTCCTGAGACGGCTGCTTGTGACTCCTCAAGTTTTCAAGGCAGCAGTGCCTGAACGACACGCAATGACCTCTATTCTTGCATGTAGGAACGTCCTTTCAAAATATATTTGCAGATACAGTGAACACACTCACACGAAGCTGGCTGCTCCGTACAGGATGATGCAGTTTCCACAGCGGAGCATGCGTGTCTGTGAACGTATTCCAAAGCAACACTGAGTGCAGTTACCAGCTACTCAGAGCTGCACCTTCCAATTCCACTTAAGCAGTGTGATAGAGAGCCATTGGTTTACACAACACTGTTTGTATTGAGGAGCAGGGGGGAGAAAAAAAGAAAAAAGCAACACGCCACCACAATAGGCAGGTTCAGCTCTTAAAAAACAAGTGCAAAAAGCAGGAGAGAAAACTGTCATTGCACAGTTGACTGTACGGTATCCCATTCACCTATCTTTGGCAGTAACTTCGCATGAGGAAGTCCAAAGCATCATTTGTTGTCATCCCTACTCACTTGTGCACTGTAAGAAGTGCTTCTCAGCATGTAAAATCCCCTTTTCTTGTACCCATGTTAAAATACAAATGCTGTACCTACTTCTGCACTGTATCTATAATTCTGATTCAATTTTAATCTGTTGAATTAGGAAAGCGTATTAGAAATGTAATTCCAGCTGTTACAGTTTACTGAGAACAGCTTTACATTTACTGAGAAACCAAGATTATTGTATACAACGGGCAGCCACTCGAAACCTTGTGCTGCTATTTTTAAATTATTTCCATCCTATCTTCTAATTTAGCAACCTGAAAGTGTATCTTTAACAGATGCCATTCATTCGCTCTTCTGCAGCTTAAGTATCGAAGTAATATGTCATCACTAGGTGTCTGCAAAGGCTCCCCCTCAAAACAGTTTTAAAAATGTATTTTAGAACCTCCCTTCCAACAATAAAATCCCGAGTGTAAATTTGTAGTTGATGGCGTTTCCGACTACCTTCAGATTTCAAACCATTTCTCACCATTATGCATTGCCCTGGTTGCACGCAGTTCTCTTACGCCGCAGTCCAGGCTCACTATAAAATTCTTTATTATGGTCCTTAAACTCCCGTGGTAATGTTAGCAGGGAAGTTGTGGTGGGTGCAGACAACTTGCAGCACGGCCTAATGTCAGTCTGCCCATTCTGCTCCCCAGGTTTCTTTCTGCTTGCAGGAACGTCCCTTCTCTCTAAGGGATTGCCTTCAGGGAGCGTTCACGTTGAAATGCCTCACTTAAAGTCCACGTCGAGGTCGTATTAAACATGATTTTATTAAATAAGTAATAAGCCCAATTTGCTTCGTCTTGTGTTAACAACAACTTCCCCCTCCCCCGCCCACCCCCCCCTCTCCCATTGAAGATAACAGCCAAATTAATGAAAAGGCTGCATGTATCAAATAATGCTGCTCAGGCACTTTGCTTTTAAACAAACCCACAGACATCCCCGTGCTGTGGGAACTGGTTTTGGCTCGTTGCAAAATACGCTCTGTAGCACTGTAGCAATACCTTGATTACAGCTGCAAAGAGAAATGAAAAATACTGACTGGACGAGAAGTGTTTTAATTTGTGAGATTGGGAGCACTCGTTATATCTGGCCTATGAAATTGCTTTCGGTATAGCAATCGTTAGGCTTCCTAATGCAGCACGTAAATGATTTACACTGCATTAATGTGCACTAGATAGCCCTCTGCTCGTGTGTGCTGAGTCCACCTTGCTCACAGATCTCAAATGAAAGTGAAAAACCAACAGCTCTACTTCAGCTTGTTAATCGTTAACTACGAAGGGTTTCACTCTACTAATTAAAATATGTTTTAATAAAAGGGAACGTAGCACAATTTGATAACAGCCTTCTAAGGCTGAAAAGTATTTACATTGTTGCATTTTAGGGCTGCTGTGAAAGCCGATTTTGTGCTATTCAGGGACCACAATAATAACGCTTTAAAATTCCTCACTGGGATGCAATGTAGTCCTTTTGATGGAAAGACTGTCTTTCTCATTCGGCAGAAATAAATCCATTCATTTGATCATGTAGTCATTGAGGGCAATACAAAACAAACCAAGTGTGAGAAATTCTATGTGATGAAGTAAACAAAACAAAACCCCCCAAAAAAGGGGAGAAAAAAAAAAAAAAACCATTTCCATGACAAAAAGATTCTTTGTCCTTAATCTACCCACCATATGCAAGCGTTTCTTTTTAGCATATCTCTTGTTCTAATCTCGGGTGACATGGACATAGATAAGATTCACAAAACAAAACAAAAACCTAGTTTAACAATTTTTTTCCCCCAATTTATTAACTCGCCAGGAGTGTCCTGATGAAGTAGTGGGGTTTTATTTTGCTGTACTGAAGTGGGTTCGGAGCATTTCAAAGTCTGCAGTTCTAGTGAAACATTCTCAAATAGAATCCACCCCAACAGAGGCTGAGCTCAGCTAATCGTTGTGTTGGCTTTTCCTTTTTTATTTTTCCCTAATAAAATCGTAATTCTCATCTGCTTGCCTGCACTTATTTTATTTCGCGTTGCCAACGCTTCCTATAAACCCTATTCCTGTTTGCACTGCTGTGCTGCTCCGCTGTGACAGAAGGAAGCATTTCTCTGGGTTATTGTCAATACCCAGTGGGTTTTCCCGGAGCAGTGGCAGCAACCCCATCCTCACTGCCCTGACAGAGTGGGACACATCCCGGATCCCGGCCACCCCGAGGAGAGCTTACAGCTCTGCCGATCTGACAGATGTTTTAACCCGATGAAGAGGATCCACACTGCCTTAAGCTTCCAGGCAGTGAAGTTTAGATACAATAGTCTAAATCCTCCTCGGGCTCCAACTTTGTTGCCTTTCCTCACCTACAGAAGCAACTTCTAGCTTTGGAACAGGAAAACGACTCTTTCTCTTTTCATTCTGAAGGGAGGGAAAGCGGATAAAGGATAGGGCCTACACGGAAGGCAGAAGACACGGGGGCTCCCACTTAGTTTTGCAAGAAGCCGAGAAGGTAGGGAGCTACCGTGCACAGAAGGGAAGAAAAACTTTCAAGTGGAAGCCCTCAACTTAGCCCGGGGTAAGCGAGGAAGGGCTGTGGCATGCCTTCGCACGCTGCAGCGCCTAAGGCTATTTCAATTGAAAGAAAGAAAGAAAAAAGAAAGAAAGAAAGAAAAAAAAAAAAAACAAACAACCAACAAACTGCCTCTCTCTTTCTACAAACAGTCCGGCGAGGTGGAAATTAGGAGCGATTACAGCCCGAATCAGTCCCGCTTTAGACACTTGTTCACGAGCAGAGCGGGCCGCCCAGATGCATAAAGCGAGTGTGGCGTGTCTGCGTGTGGGGAGGGAGCGAGGAATGGCGGATGGGCGAGCGAACGGCCCTTCCTCGGCGCCTGCAGCCGGCGCGACAGGGGCCGGTGGCGGCGGTGGCACCGTGTCACCTCCCACCCCTCAGAGCCGGGAGGCGGCGGGGGGAGGCAGCGCAAAGGGGGGGCGAGGAGCCGCTCGGGATCCTCGGAAATACCCCAGCCTACCCCGCTGCTCTCCCTGGGCTGCCTCCGTTCGAAGCCCGGAAGGGGCTCCCCCAAACCACGCCGCCCCAAAGCCAGCGCCCGGTTGAGGGAGCCTTCGGCAGCCAACGATGCGGGGCCGCCCCGGGGGTGAGACCGGGGAAGATCGCATCCTCCGGCTCGCGGGACTCCCGTTGCCCCAACTTTGGTGTCGGAGGGCTAGGGTAGCGTGGCTCCGGCCCGAACCTCCAGGGGAGGTGAGGGGTGGAGGGGGGGAGGTGGGGAGGGATGGAAAACCGGTGCAAAAAAAAAAAAAAAAAAAAATACAGACAGGGAGAGAAGCACGGAGGAGTGGAGGAGGCGGTGCTGCTCCCGGTGTCCGCTCTTGCGGCTGCCCGAGCCCGGTCAGAGGGAAGGAGGCAGGGCCTGGCCCGGCAGAGAGCCCCGCCGTGAGAGCTGCGCTCGGGTGGCCGGCGGGGAATCGCGGGGAGGGCCGCTTGGGCAGGGGGTGGGCTGCCGAAACTTGGCTGAACTGCGAACTTCTCAGTTCCGCCGCCTCTTTCCCCGGCTGCTCGAATTCCCGTTCTCCCGCTGCGGAGTAATTACGCTCCCGTGCTCAGCAGCACCGTAAACGCACCTATCTCCATCCGAAACGCGCTCACAAAAGAGACAGAGAAAGAGGCGCCGGGAGCTCTTACCGTGCTCGGAAACTACCTCCGCTTGCAGCTCTTCGTCCGATTTGAGATGCTGGGGTTTCGCTTGCTTTCGACGAGACATGCTGCTAACTGAGCCGTCTTGACTCTGCTTTTTGCAGAGGCATCAGCGACGCGGAGGTGGAAAGGGGAGGAGGGGGGGGAGGAATTGGGAGCGAGGGGAGGGGGCTGGAAATAACTGTTCGCAAATAAAAAGTCGAGTTGCAAAACAAACCAAACAAACAACAACAGAAAAGGCGACCAACCCTACCGAGGAGGAGAGGAGGGAGAAAAAAGGAGGGGAAAAAAAAAAAAAAAAAAAAAAAAAAAAAAAAAAAAAAGCAAGGCTAAGCAACCAAAGCGGAGTGAGCGGGCGGGCGTGCAGGGCTCAGCCGGGCGGGCTGTGAGCGGCGCGGGGCTGCGGGCGCGGCGGGCTGGGGCGGCTGCGCGGAGCGCGCATGGGGCTCCGTAATTAGGCTAGTGAATAATGCATGGCGATTAATGGTGCTGGGGGCGAGCGGGGATTGGCGCGGCTCCAGCGGACTCGGGCTGCATATGGAAATGAAGGACAGGCTCCGCAATTAGCCGCTCCGCTCCGCCGGGGGATGCGGCTCCGCAGCAGCGTCGCCCGCTACGGGCACTGAGCGCGGCGCAGGGGCACGCAAACAGCGCGCAGCGGGGCTCTGGGCTGCACGCGCTGTGCACAACATATGGGCCAGGTTCGCTTCTCGGGGGAGGTCACGATCCTCGCCTTTCTGTCTTTCTTTTCCCTCGGCTCTCAGTTTCTTTTGCTCTGCTTTCTTCTGTTCTCTTCGATTTTTGTTTTTGTTTTTTTTTCTTGTTGTTGTTTTGTTTTTTTTTTTTTTTTTTCTCCTGATTTTTTTTTTCTTCACATCACCTCGTCTCTCCTGGTCTCTCTTTCCCCAGAAGTTGATCTGCGAGGCATCTGCTTTCTGTGTGCGTGTGAGTAATTTCTTTCCGGCAGAAGAAACTTTTGTGAACGCTTCTCTTTCTTTTCTGTGTGCCTGTGCGTCGTCCGCTCTTCTCTCCCTTCGCTTTTCACGTGCTTCTCCGTAGCTCTCCCATCCTGTCTCCTGTTCTCCGTCTCCCCTCCCGGCTGACTTTTGTTCTCTCCTCTCGGAAGCGCACGCACAGGAGACCTCGGGCAGTTTTGTCTTTCACCTCTCCTTCCTTCTTCTTTGTCTTGCAGCTTCTTTCTCCGAGCAGAGGCTCCCCGTTGGTGGTGGTGCTCACTTCCTGTTGTCCATTGGTAGGAAGTTTTTTTCTTTGTCCCTCTCCCACAGGTCGGAATGACTTTGTGGGACGCTCCTCACCCCCTCCCCAGCTCACTCGCGCGTCCTCTTAGCTAATGACAGCGGTCTCGCGGACGCGCCGATGGGCCGCTCCTCGCCGCCCGGCACACAGCATCTCTCCTCTCCCGGCTCTGAGGCCGGGTGCCGCCGTTACCGCTGGGCTGCAGCCCCCTCCCCGCCTCGCCCCGCTCCGCTCTCAGCGCTGCCGGCAGCCTCTCCCCGCCCGCTCCGCTCCGAGCCGCTCTGCGCGCCCCGCGGCCGCTCCTGATTTCGGGCAGATAAACTTTCAAGTTTGGGAGCGGTGCGGGGCTCACGGCGGCTCCTCCTACTCTCCTCCTCCTCCTCCGCCTCCCCCCGAGCCGCGCTGCCGGGGCTGCGGCCGGGGCTGCCCCCAGCCCGCTGCCCGCCGCCTCCCCGCTCCCTTCTCCGCACGCACCTTCCCGACGGCTTTTCTCCTCGGCCCCCACTTTATTTATTTATTTTTTTTCCCCCCTAAAAGTGCGAAGGGAAGGGGTGGGGGGCGGGGGGGGGGGAGAAGCACAGCCATCCCCCTCTTCCCCCTCCCGCTCTCTCCTCTATCGCATTACAAGTTGCCGGGAGCCGGGCCGCCTCCCCGCCGCGCCCCCCCACCCCCCACTCGCCTGCCCGCCCGCCGCCCCGCCCGGTCCCGCCGCCGCCGCCGCCGCCGCCACGAGTTGCCGCTCCGGGCGCGGCCTCGCCCGACAGCGCCGGGCGCCCATGGCACAGAGCCGCCGCTAGGATGTACCCCACCGTCGCCGATCTCCACCGCGCAACGCGCAGCTCCGCGCCTGAGTGTGCGTGTGGCCGTGCGGGGGAGGTTCCGCCAGCTGTTCCCCTCCTCTTGTTTTTTCTTTTTGTTTTTTTTTTTTTTTTCCTTTCTTTCTTTCTTTCTTTTCTCTTTCTCTCTCTTTATTATTATTATTTTAAGTGCCCCTTGCAGATTGGCTCCCGGCGGTGCTGGCCCCGGCCCTTGCGCGGGCGCGCAGCGGGGGCGAGAAGCGCCGGGCAGCTTTGCGCATGAGGCTGGGGAGCGAGGCGAGGCCGAGTGAAAGGGATTTCCTCCTAATACCCCCGCCGCAGCCCGTGTAATCCAGCCCTAGTCCTTAAAACACACTAACCCCGGCTGCTTTGGGAGAGGACTCTGTGTAAACTTTCCCTGCTGATAGCTCCCTTTATCTCGGGCGTCGCGATACCGCGTCTCCGGGCTCACGCTTTATCCCCCGCTTTGCTTCTGGTGGGCAAACCAAATAAAGTTAGAAGCGGCAGTTTAGGCCACTCCGGGGAGCTCGGTGACGTGCAGACTACCAGTGGTTTCTGCGGTGCAGATATTCGTTAAAAACGGGCGCGATCCTTACGAGAAAAAGTGCTGAAACGCCAAATCTGTGCCATTTGGCTATCAGACGGGCGTGCTTTTCTGTCCTTCGTTTAGCGGGATGCGTACACGAGACCCCTCTCGTTGATCGTTATAATTTGAAAGCCTTGTTTGCCGTCTATAAATCTAACGCGTGTTCTCTCCGTGTATCCATCCTCGCTGAAAGTTTGGTCGTACTGAGAGCGTCTGATCTAAAATATCCAGAGACGATCGCGAAGGCTGAAATCTAATGTGATTTTCTAGTATGAAGTGGGAGGGGACGAGCCCATTAATTGAGCTTAAACCCCCCCTTCCTCCCCCCATCAGAAATAGGGATTTATTGCACACGAATAACACGTTATGCCGTGTGCATATGCTGCGTTATGTTGCAGGCAGAGCGCAGGTGAAAGCGAACGTCTGCGGGCATTGCGGCACCGCAGCCGCGGGCAGGGAACTGGAGTTGAGGCTTCTCCTGAGGCTCCGAAGTCCATTTTCCCCGATCTGCGCGAGGTGAGGGAGCTCCGCCGCCTTCCTCATCTGCAGCGTGTGCCTGGGATGGAAGAGGACGCACTTTAACCTCTCCCAGGCATTTTTCCCGAATTGCGCTGAGTACCAAAACTGGGTCAATTTTCACTTAGTTCACTTCTGAAGGGATCTCTTGCTGTTGTTCAAACAACACTTTTGTTTGTTTGTTTGTTTGTTTCTTTCCCTAAATTTGGGCATTTTCCATTGCTCAGTGCCTCGTACGATTTCTGGAAGAGCCTTTCAAACGTGCTTTTCCTGGAGCGGTATTAAAAAAAAACAACTAGCAACCCTTTGCGTTGTGGAAACAAAAGTTTGTCTGCTGTGAAAAAAATGATCGAAAATTAATATGATCTTGCGGGACGTGAGAGAATCTTTAAGTGGAAAATTAAATAATCCTGTCTTTAATGCTTAATGAACAATGGAGAACAGAACAGTCAAGAAGGGCATAATTACCAGATTTGTATCTCTCGACATTACCATATTCTAGGGTTTCAAGCGATACATTTGACGGTTTCCTTTTCTCTCGCCCCGCTCCGGGAGAGAGATGGGAAAGGAGCGGGGCGAGGTGCGGCAGCCCCCCGGGGAGCGATGGGGATGCGCCCGGGAGCGGCCCGGCTCGGAGCGGCGCGATGCGGAGAGGGAAACTTCCTCCGACCCGCGGGGAAAAGCCCGGAGGAGTGGCGCGCTCGGAAGGAGTGTGGAAAGTTATGAAGTGATACGCGTCCCTCCGGCCCCTGCTTCCCACCCCTGCCCCCCCCCCCCCGACCCCTCTCCCCTCCCCGCGTCTCTCCGTTACACCGCAAAAATTTTCCACCGGCCTTTTATAATTCATCTCCCTGACTCGAGGTTTGAATCTAAATGAATAAGAAACGACGCTCTGGCTGAAGTTGGGCTACGAGAAACGCGGCCGATTCGGGGGCGAAAGGCTGAGCCGCGCAAATCTGTGCGCGCCGCTCCGGGTGCGCGCAAGGGAAGGGCCGCCCACCCGTGTCCGCTCCCCGCTCTGTCGAAGCGCCGTGCCGGCGGTGGGACGCAGCAGCTGCTGTGCTCTGCGCACTTAAACCCGCTCTGCTACTTGCCGTCTTCTCTTGCGGTGTTTCTCGCACCCTTTCATGGCGTTTTTTCTTCTCCCCCCCTTGCTTAATAATATTAGATACTTCTTAGCACTCCGTTGTTCTTTTTTTTTTTTTTTTTTTTTTTTTAATTATGGACGTGAATGGGATGCCTGCTTACTGGTTTGCTTTAATTTGTATCCTCGCGTAAGCCTTCAGAAAGTTTATCTGCAGGATCGACTCCACAAAGACCGTAGAAGTAGTTCCGTCTACACTTACCGCTTTATGCAAGATTGTTATTCCTAAGCCCATCAAAATTGCCAACATGCAGTTAAGATGGATGTGGCATTCAGTGCAATCCGACTGCTGTATTTCATTGTTATTTTGCTCAGCAACTTTATTCAAAGGGCGTGCAATTATTTCGACTTTATTTTCCATCGTCTCCTGCTCTTCCTAGCAAGCTGCAGCAGTCTCTCTTCCCACTCTTTTTTTTTTACCATAACTTTTGTTTGAGGACCCTGGGGTTAAATTCAACATAATTTCTTCCGTTTAAAGCTGCGACAACTGACCGCTAATTCCTTCTCACATGAGCAAAGATATTACCATACTAATATTATTATTGGTAAGAAGAGGTAATTGATAACACCACCTGCCACTCTGCAGCAATCACGATGATAAATGTTTCCATCAGAGGGAAATCTGTGCTTGGTCTACCACAGCCTAAGCCAAACAGCATGTCAAATGTCAATTATAAAGATGTTTCTTTTCTATTACAATTTTTGTGTGTGTGTGTGTGTGGAAAGTAACCAGCCCCACCACGAGATGTACAGAGCCTGGAGCACAACACTGCCTGAACGTTTTGCCTTAAACATTCGAGTTACTTTTCTTTTTATTTCATATCACTCCGCTCTTGGATCTAAATAAACATCCATTCATGTACACAAAAGCTTACGCTCACACTTAGCGAACTCCAATTACCACCCACTTCCGTTCCTTAACCTAACAGATGACACGTTCAGT